GGATGATTCATATCTCTTTTACATGGTACTCACTGGAGTAGCTAGACATCGTGTTAAAACGATCTACTCCAACATGGCTCATTCACCTACCTGGCAAGTCAGTGCTAGCTGTCAGCTAGAAGCTCAGTCATGGCCAAGGGTCGGGGGCCTCAGTTATTCTCCACATGGACCTTTCCATAAGGACATCTTCACAGGCTGCTTGGCTTTTCTCATAGCATGGTGTCTGGATTCTAAGCACAGTATCTCAAGAAACAGGAAATAAGTACTAGTGTCTTATCAACAGGCAAATTATTTTAATAGAAAATGTTTTCAGTACCTGCTATATACAAAGCACTGTGGAATATAGAGGGATTCACCGATAAAGAGAACAAAGCACAGGCTCTGCTTGCAGCCGGGTGGACAGTTCTGTTGAGACAGTACTGGGGATGGTACTGAAAATGAGCAGATGCGTGCTTCAGTAATGCTGAGGAGTGGATGAAGGGGTAGAGATGCCAGGAGTGCTGAGTGCAGATTGAAAATAAAAAGACCCAGAATTTCAAACCGAGGTATTGCTCTTACAGTGTATATGCCACATGAATCTTTTATCCATGAATTACATCCAGGAAAGACTTTCCCTTTTCCCTTCTTATTTTTTCTTCATTAGTCAGCCCCCCACCCACCCCAGCAGATGTTTATTGAAGGTCACTTGCTTTGTGCCTTGTACTAACTAAATTCTGTAGGGCATATAAAAATATGAGAGTTGTCCTCAATTTTTTCTCCCATTCCTCCTAAAAAAATTTTGAAAAACTATATACTTCCTTCTATATTTTTAAGTTGGTATCAAATATTTTTATCTTGCAAAGATAATTGCAAAGAATGTAATTTCCAGTGTATTCTATTCATATTTTAAAATAAGGTTACTATAGCCCTCTTTTTAAAATGTATCCAGTAAAATCTAAAAACCATACTGATTTGATACCTACCATCACTTGTTTAAAAAATACAGAAGCTTTTTGTTAAGTTTTGGAAGTTTTACATGGTTCCTTTTTTCCCTTCAAACTATTTGTATTCTGTTTTCCCCACAGAATTTTGTCCTAATGTAAGATAGTTTTATGCTTTAAAGCCTTTTATTGATTACCAAAGTTACATCTCTGCAACGAAAGATGTTTATAAGTTTAAATTTAGAATTTTAAAAAATTTTCTGACTTTGGACCCTGTTAATTTTTTTAATTCTAAATTACATTATTGTTACAATTATTAATATATACCTAATTAAAAAAATAAGTTCTGAGGTATAGAAACATAGAAGGTAAAATTTTATTGGAAATGTATATCTTAATGAATGACATGGGGTTTTTCTTTTCCCTTGAATTAATGTATGCATCTGGGGATAAATAAGGCTTTTTTGCTAGAACAAGCTAGGGCTCAGTATCAATCCTTTCCTTGTTTTATTTTTAGAGGCAAGTACTGAGAAATCTTATTCAAATAAGAAGATGGGAAAGGCAGGAGTTTTGTTACAGCCATATGCAGAGTTTAGTGGTTCCTAAGACCAACTTCAAGTTCAGTAGTTCACTAAAAGGATTCACTGAAAACTCACTAACAACTGTTCCAGACTCCCTGACAGCTGTTATACTCACAATTATAGTTTATTAAAATGAAAGAATACAGATTAAAATTAGCCAAGAGAAGATGCTCATGAGACAGAATCCAAGAGAGTTCCTGTGTGGAGCTTTCAGTACCCCCTTCCGGTGAAGTTGTAGACAGTGCTAAATTCTTCCAGTAACAATGTATGACAGTACACATAGAGTCTTGCCAACCAGAGAAGCACGCTTGAGCCTTGGAGTCTAGAGTTTTTGTTAGTGCTAAATCACATAGATACAGTTGACCACCTGTGTGGCTAACCTAAGTTTCCAGCTCCTGCAGAGGTCAAGCTGATGCCACATCTCCCACAGCCCCCT